TATATATATATATATATACTGCTCAAAAAAATAAAGGGAACACTTAAGCAACACATCCTAGATCTGAATGAATGAAATAGTCTTATTAAATACTTTGTTCTTTACATAGTTGAATGTGCTGACAATAAAATCACACAAAAATTATCAATGAAAATTAAATTTATTAACCCATGGAGGTCTGGATTTGGAGTCACACTCAAAATTGAAGTGGAAAAACACACTACAGGCTGATCCGACTTTGATGTAATGTCCTTAAAACAAGTCCAAATGAGGCTCAGTCGTGTGTGTGGCCTCTACGTGCCTGTATGACCTCCCTACAACGCCTGGGCATGCTCCTGATGAGGTGGCGGATGGTCTCCTGAGAGATCTCCTCCCAGACCTGGACTAAAGCATCCGCCAACTCCTGGACAGTCTGTGGTGCAACGTGTGGCGTTGGTGGATGGAGCGAGACATGATGTCCCAGATGTGCTCAATTGGATTCAGGTCTGGGGAACTACTGAATGCCTTCGTCTTGCAGGAACTACTGACACACTCCAGCCACATGAGGTCTAGCATTGTCTTGCATTAGGAGGAACCCAGGGCCAACCGCACCGGCATATGGTCTCACAAGGGGTCTGAGGATCTCATCTCGGTACCTAATGGCAGTCAGGCTACCTCTGGCGAGCACATGGAGGGCTGTGCGGCCCTCCAAAGAAATGCCACCCCATACCATTACTGACCCACTGCCAAATCGGTCATGCTGGAGGATGTTGCAGGCAGCAGAACGTTGTCCACGGCGTCTCCAGACTCTGTCACGTCTGTCACATGTGCTCAGTGGAACCTGCTTTCATCTGTGAAGAGCACAGGGCGCCAGTGGCGAAGTTGCCAATCTTGGTGTTCTCTGGCAAATGCCAAACGTCCTGCCCGGTGTTGGGCTGTAAGCACAACCCCCACCTGTGGACGTCGGGCCCTCATACCACCCTCATGGAGTCTGTTTCTGACCGTTTGAGCAGACACATGCACATTTGTGGCCTGCTGGAGGTCATTTTGCAGGGCTCTGGCAGTGCTCCTGCTGTTCCTCCTTGCACAAAGGTGGAGGTAGCGGTCCTGCTGCTGGGTTGTTGCCCTCCTACGGCCTCCTCCACGTCTCCTGATGTACTGGCCTGTCTCCTGGTAGCGCCTCCATGCTCTGGACACTACGCTGACAGACACCGCAAACCTTCTTGCCACAGCTCGCATTGATGTGCCATCCTGGATGAGCTGCACTACCTGAGCCACTTGTGTGGGTTGTAGACTCCGTCTCATGCTACCACTAGAGTGAAAGCACCGCCAGCATTCAAAAGTGACCAAAACTTCAGCCAGAAAGCATAGGAACTGAGAAGTGGTCTGTGGTCACCACCTGCAGAACCACTCCTTTATTGGGGATGTCTGTCTTGCTAATTGCCTATAATTTCCACCTGCTGTGTATTCCATTTGCACAACAGCATGTGAAATTGATTGTCAGTGTTGCTTCCTAAGTGGGCAGTTTGATTTCACAGAAGTGTGATTGACTTGGAGTTACATTGTGTTGTTTAAGTGTTCCCTTTATTTTTTTGAGCAGTGTGTGTGTATATATATATATCTATCTATATATCTATCTATATATATCTATATCTATATATATATCTATATATCTCTCTCTGAAATAGTCTGGGAATTGATACTAATCCATAACACTCAAGAAGGTTTCCACATGTCACTTATTTCTAAGAATAAGAACATTTTGTCATTCTTATAATTTTGATGCACAAAGTTCTACTTTGCTTTATACATATGGCCCTGGTGTTGGATCTGAGTGGTGGGACATGTATTTTACACACAAGAAGTTATCATTCAAAACCGAAAAGAGATGTATAGTGTTAGGTCAGTTAGGTGATGTGTACCAAATGTAAGTGTTAGTCTGCAAATTCAAAATCACTTCTTACTGCCATTGGAATTAATTGGAATTAGACAAATGTCTGTTTCTCAGGTCCTAGAGGATAATGACTACGGCCGGGCGGTGGACTGGTGGGGTCTGGGTGTTGTCATGTACGAAATGATGTGCGGCCGTCTGCCTTTCTACAACCAGGACCATGAGCGTTTATTTGAGCTCATACTCATGGAGGAGATCCGCTTCCCCAGGAACCTGTCGCCTGAGGCCAAGTCCCTGCTGGCTGGCCTGCTCAAGAAGGACCCCAAACAGAGGTGTGTGTGTGTGTGTGTGTGTGTGTGTGTGTGTGTGTGTGTGTGCGCCCGTCCGTCCGTCCGTTCATTTTGGGAATGCCTTTTTAATTCTTACACGATCGTGTTTGGACTGACAGGTTGGGTGGAGGTCCCAACGATGCCAAAGAAGTAATGAGTCACAAATTTTTCATCACCATCAACTGGCAGGATGTGGTACAAAGGAAGGTAAGACATTATGACACTAAAAGAAGTGAAACTGAGGTTTTCTTTTAGTCACTGAATATCCCCTTCATATCTGTAACATCAGACACTTTTATCAGTCTTTAATAATTGTTGTTCTCTGTAGCTTGTAGAAAAAATCCTTACATTTAGATATATGCTCTCATGGTTGTGAACCGTGCCGCTAATCTCTAATTCATAGAGATAAAAGCCATCTCCATGAATTAGAATCAACAAAAACTTTTTTCTATAATATGTTTGCCGTATGTCAGACACATTTGAAAACGGTCTTTTCAAATCTTCATCACTATTGAGCAAGTGGTTATTGTTCTTTTGTGTCAACTGATAGGAAAACAGTTAGGAAAATGTCTTGCTTTATGAAAACCTACACCCTAAAATTGCACTTCTCCTATAATTTCTTACTGCAACTAACACAACGTGCATACTTCTATACTTGCATGATGGAAACCCTGAGTTTCTTGAATTCCAGAGGCTTGGTTGGAGCCAACAAAAAAAAAACAATGGTGGAAAGAGAAACTAATAGAGCTTGTGTTCTTAACATTAACAAAATAGAAATCCTGTTGACTTTAGCTGTGGTTAGATATGTTTATATCGTTCTCAGGGAAGATATCTCGGTGTCTGTCAGGAATGATACAGCCATGCTCCACCCCCTAGTGGATACATACTTCAGATATGAAAAAAAGTACACAGGCAGTATGTTAACAGTGCCTACATGTAATCATTATATAAATCCAGTATTTTCCCAATCAAAGGGCATTTTACGAATCTTCTTCCCTTCCATCATCAGCTCACCCCACTCTTCAGACCGCAAGTGACTTCAGAGACAGACACCCGGTACTTTGATGATGAGTTCACAGCACAGACCATCACGCTTACTCCTCCAGACAAGTGTGAGTGTCCCCTGACTGTACAGCGACACTGTGTCAGTTCCATCTGGACTGGAATGTGACCACTGACTTCTGCTGTCTTCTTCTTACAGATAACAGTCTGGAATGTGAGGATCCCGGCCAACAGGCACATTTCCCGCAGTTCTCCTATTCTGCTAGCATAAGAGAGTGATCGCATCTCTGCCACACACACAAAAACACAGGAGGCATGAACACCTGAGCCACATCCTTGCAGGTATAAAATGAGCAGAACCTCCATTTTCAATGAGGTTTTAGTCCATCAGGATCTAAGTGCCTCAGCTGGTGGCCATTTTGTTCAATAGAACCACACTACGGACAAAGCCTGGCCACACTGGCTGTACTGTATCAAACTGGACTTCAGTACCTCACATAGTAATCAGCACAACTCAACCACACAATGCCTGTAGCACCTTTGGATGGCCTCCAAAAAACTACTGCTGCTTTTCCAGACTATAAACCACCAATCATTTTAACACACTCTTTTTATGGTCTTTATGGAAGCCATACAGTTCCTCCATGATGTTTCCAAGTGCTCTTCTTCAGAACTAGCTGTCACCACCGGTGATAGATGGGTTTGTATCTGAGGGAGAAAGCAGTTTGTTGGGCGTCTTTCTGTTGGGTGTGTGTGTGGATCTTTTTTTACTTTTGAGAAAAGGGCGTCGTCAAATCCAAACTGAATGTCATCAGTTTACTCTGAACAAGTCTGTCAGAGCATGAGCTTTTGTGTGTCTTAATACAATGCTCAATATGCGCCGGGAACAACGGATTAATTGATAACACATGATGATCAGTGTCTCCGTGGAGAAAAGCTTTTAAGTGAAGCATGAATTGTCCTTTGTAAACTGTTTGCAATGAAAACAAATAATTTGTTTATTAGTTTGCTCTCATCTCAGAATTTGATCTCTGTGAACAGATCTGTCAAGTGTGACATGTCAATTATATAGGAATTGGGAGTACCTTAATGCACAAGGTGTATATGTTATTGTATCTGTGTAGCAATATTCACACCATCCATGTCATTTAAGAGACTTAATAAGCACTTAATGATTTGAAGCAGACCTCATATTTCTCAGATGGACCATGTTCATAATGTAGCTGAAAGCTTCCTGGATTGGTGTCGGTGCTTATTATTTTTTAAACATCTCATGGAAATGTGTCTGTGATACAGAGTTTCACAAACTGTCCGATTCCTAATCCTGTTGACTTTTCCTGTGGTCGGACACTGTAGGTTCTGATTTACGTCAACCGTTGGCCAGATTTTGACTTTCAATTTCCCCAAAGTACTTGCACTTGTTGCATGCAGACAACATTTAACAAGAACTTTGGCTTTTATTTTGGTTACATGAAAAAAATAAAAGTAGAAACCATAAACAGTAGGTATTAAAGTATTATATCTGTACTGAAACTCAGATGTTGTATCAGCACTATTTCTGAAAAAAACACCAAGCAAACAAATTCACAGTGCTTTGAGACCACATGTTCATATTTGGAGTGTCATCATTTCTTAGCATTCAAAGCTACCCCTGTAATATTTCCAGTTCACTTATACATTTTTTATAATGTATGTTTGTAGACTTTCTATGAAGTTAGTCTTTCCTCAGATCATAACTCACCATTTGATACTTAACCTGTTTGAAACTTTACAAGTTTGAATGTCGTCCTGGCTATTATGTATGTCATCTCTTTGTAAATCCACACCACTGCTGCTTCTCACACTTGACCAAGCTGGAGAGCTAGGTTATCCAGCGAGCTGTGTATATCATGAACATGGTCCATTGTGAGATTTTGTGTTTGAGTGCAATGACTTGCAAGTATGCCTTTTTATTATTTCCAGTTCTTCCCATCTATTATTCATTGCTGCACATCATTAAATGTTAAAAAGGGGAGGTTCACCGTTAAGATTTGCAATACTGGGTTTTATACTGTACATGAATATGCGCCCAACATTGTATTGGTGCTACACTGATGAGTCACTGGTAATAAATAAAAGAGCTGTTGCAGACAACCTGCTTCCTGTTGCTCACAGATAAAAAATCTAACGTAATTTGTAACAAAATACTTTAGAGTGGAGTCATTTTGTATTTAAAATACTCAAAATACTTTCTCCACGAATCAAAAAACAGTTCACGAGTTCAGTCTTCAGATCTTCAAGTTCAACGGATTGTCTGTCAAGATAAATATTTTATCCGAGTGTGACAGATGTCAACTAGCTGTCTAGGCTAGTGCATAGCTAGTGTTTAGCAAGTTAACTTATCAGTGGAGTAGCTAGCTATAGGAAGAGGGAGATTGGGAGCTTGTATGTTCATGATAACCTTATCGAGAAACGTCTGACCATCTACAGCATAACTTGTAGCATACAAGTATTGCTGTATGCTACATTGAGTATCTTCTCAATGTGAATGTCATAATGCCATATCAATTACTGGCAGATAATATACTGTAGTTCACAGTTAGCCAGGCTGACAGTAGATGTCCATTTGTTTAAAAAAAGCAAAAAAACATTAAATATCATTTATTTTATTTAAAAGGCATATTATGAAAGTATTCTTAGTTTTATTATTTCATACATTCTACAGTTGGCCAGGTGGACAACATGTCTGTGACTGTTCTTCCTTTTTGTGGGCTTCACCAGAGCTTTGTGTACATTATATAGCCCAAACCTGAATGCTCTAAATACCAAATTGTGAGAAAACGGAAAATCCAGAAAAAAGTATTTCCTACATTTTAAATGCAAAATACATGTATGGTATTTTGTATTTTATTTTAATACATTTATTTGATGGGTATTTTGTATCAAAATACATTTTGATGTATTTTTGCCCATCTCTGAATACATTGCCTTAAAATTCATGAAGGACTGAGATTTTGCCAATTGCATAACTGAAAATTAAGCACACACTCTTAAAATGGTTTAAGTACACTATTAAATCTTATTTTGCTAACCAACAAATGTTGCACTTTAATCTGCTGAAATACCTTGACATTTTGAGTTATATTTCCTTTTGTTGGTGCTCATGGTGTTAAATAATTGTTTAAATTCAATTTTGCCCACTTGGCATTTCACCTCACTTTACTTGCATTTCTGTGCTCTGTCGACCATGTTTGTTGCTTCCCCTTGGATGTGTGATTTGGTATGGATACACACTCAGTGGTTAAAGGTTTACGCCCAGAAATTTCCCAAACGGTAAAATTCGAAGAACGTAAGAAAATCCAGGCAGAGGGCCGAGTCTCTGCAGAAACAGACACCGCCACACACTTCTAGTGGGTCATAAGTAATGACTGAGAGCCTATACATTGTTTATTAAGAAAATCCTGCATCTTAAACCTTCAATCATTTGTTACATATTAGGTAATTTAAAAAAATCAGTTTTTTGGCCTATCTGTTCATTCTTGATTTGATACATATTTGACTATATATAAAAAATGATTTCCAAATGTCAGGTGTTATTTTTGTTTAAGAAAATTAGAAATGCTGTGTTTCAAATGTATGGCAAGAACATTCAAATTGATCATAACAGTGACAGACCTGTATCTCATTTCTCCTCTTGGAAGACTGGCTTGCAGTATGCACAGCAGTGGCAGCAGCATCGATAGCAGTAGTGCTGGAGCTGACAAAGGAGTCCAATGGACGTCTCTGGAGCTTCCTCAGTTTGTTCTACCCTTATCTGTTCTTGATACATTTTGGCGAAAGCATGTTCTGTTACCGGCACTGTTGCATTCCCTGTGGTTACATTAACCTGGAAAGTTTGATGAGCTTCGTCACTAGTTGTCAATGTTCTTGACACTTTTTCTTTGACACAAAGTTTCTCAATCTCACTGAGCACCTGAACCTTAAATTGTTGGAGCTCTGTGTATTTTTCATCGAGTAATGTGCGGCCTCTCACACAGTCATTCTGGGATGTCATGTCCTTACTTAGTCCCTGTTTCAGTTTCTTCTCCAATGGTTCCTTTTCTTTGTGATTGATCCCTTTCAATCTTTTCTCAAGGTGGTTTCTCATCTGATGACTCATGCGCTTCAACTGATCAATCTCCTTCCGTTCCATTTTTGTGTCCTTCCAGATCTTTCGCAAACAATCTTTTTCTGACATTTTCATGTGTGTAAAATCATCTTCCTCTGAAAGCAACTCAAACGCTGCAAGTTTTGTTTTTGTTCATTTTTCACCTCTTCATTCTCGGTCAGCAGACCTTCCCTCTCAGCTTTCAAATATTTACCTTCTCTTCCAAAATGATGTGTATCTTCCTCTAACTTCCACTGATGTTCAACTTTTTCAGTCTGGGTTGAGACATCAAAGTGAAGAACACCCTTCTCACATTCATAATCATTAGGTTTAATCAAATACTGTTTCTCGAGATCTTGCTCCTGAAGAAATTCTTTTGCAACCTCAGTTTGCACTTCCTTGTCAAACTTCTTTGTCACCATTTGTTTCTTCGGTTTTTGTAGCGGGTCATAACAAAGCATGTCCCTATATTTCTGCCCTGATCTATCCATATTCTGTGTAGTCATGTCTCCTTTGATTCAGCTGATTGACTTTTGGTCTCAGACGTCGCATGAAGGGCATTAACCTGGAAAGTTCACGTTTCTGTTCAGACCTTTCTCCTTCCATTCTGTCCTTTTCATTGTCCAACCTGTGTCTGTCCATGTCAGTACTACTCTTCATCTGACTGAGTTGTTTTCTCTCTCTACTGATAATGTTCATGGAAGCTTCAACCTCTTCTTTCATTTTGTTCAGATCCTTCCTCCAAAGATCCAGTTTCTCTCTTTCTGCCAGTACACTGTTCCTACTGGTTTCCAGTTCTTGTCTTTGTTTCTTGATATCAGCATCTTTGAGATCTTGTTCTTTTTGTTTCAAAGCAATAATGTTCATCAACCTGTGAACTTTGTCTCTTTGTGTCTCAACCTGAAGGGCCAGCTCTTTAATGTTGCTTTTCTCTCTGTTGATCTCATCAAGGAAGCTGCTGATGTGTTCTTTCTTGTCTTTTATCTGAGTCATTGTGATTTGAAGCTCGTCTTTTCTTTCTTTCATTTCTTGACTGTCTCATTCTAACAGGTTCATTTGTTTCTTCATGTCAGACTTCATCAGATCCAAGTCCAGTTTCTCTTTGGTCATAATGTCATAGATATCTTTCTGATCCTCTCTCTTTTGGGTCATGTCAGTCTTTAGCTTTTTAAGATCTCCATATTCTTTAACTGAGTTTGGCTTCCACTTTTCTTTCACAACATCCTTTTCATTGACCACATTTGACATTTTTATCAGACCTTTTCTTTCTGAAAGCTTGATGCTCTTACCCCTTTTTTCTTGTACTTCATCCGGTTCCAGTTCACTTTGGAACTGAATGAACCACTCTCCCACTCTACCTTTGCTCACGTCTTTTTCTCTCTGCATCTTTATTTTCATGATCTCCAGTTCATCTCTTTCTCTGTTGATCCTCTCCAGTCGCTGGTCAAGCTCCTTCTTTCTCTTCTGTGTCTCCCTCTTGAAAGCATCTTCTTCAATTTTGACCTCAGCCCACATCTTTTTACCTTCCTGCTCTTTTTGAATGCCTTTTCGGATCATCTGTTGATTTTGTCTTTTTTCAATTTCCAACTCACACTTCAACACTTCCATCTCTCTTCTTTCTCTTTTTACTTCTTCTAGTCTGATTTCAAGCCCCTTTTTTTGTTTTTGGATGTTCTTCCTCATTTGGACCATTTCATCCTTCTCTGCTTTTGCCTGTATTGTCCTTTTTTTGAAGTCCAAATCTATCTGATGTTTTAATTGGCTCATGTTGTCTCTCACAGTCCTGTTCTCAGTTTTTAAAGCTTTGAGTCCTTATCTTTGTTCCCCTAAATTAACATTTACATTCACCAGAATTCCCATTTCCCTCCTAATCATTTCCAAATTTACATGAATCTTTTGTCTTATGTTTTGAAGGTCAATAATAGAATCAGTGGCTTTTGAGCTTTGCTGTATCATTTTAACTTCCTCCATGATGTTTTTCGACTGATGCTTTTCCAGACTTTGTTCATCCTGTTCTTCGCAAACTTGGATAAGAGTAGTCTGGTCTTTGAATCTCTGCTTCTCCACATCCATCTCCTCCTTCTGCAGTTGCAATTTCATCCTCTGTATTTCTGACTCATCCATCTCTTGCATGGTTTTTTCCAGTCTTTGCTCCAAATCTCTTCTTCTCTTCTTGGTCTCTCTCCTCAGTACATCCTTTTCTCTTTGTATGTCATTCAACTTTATTTCACTCTCCTTCCTTTTTCGCATGCTTTTTCTCATTATCTGTTTACTTTCTCTTTTGTTAATTTCCAGCTCAGACTTCAGCAGCTCCATTTCTCTTATTTCTCTTTTGGTCATTTGTACTTTGTCATCAAGCTCCTGTTTCTGTATTTCCATGCTCTCCCTTAAATGGTTCATCTTGTGTATTTCTGCCTCAGCTTGTCTTTCTATTCTCACATTTTGTCTCTCTATTTGAATATGTTGATTCAGCATCTCAATCCCTTCTCTCTCAATCACTTGCTCACTTATAAACTTTTTTAGTTGTTCAATTTCACAGTTTTTCTGACCCAAACTGTGCTCTGTCAGTAAAATATCCTTCTCATCCTTTTCTGATCTCAGTTGGAAGATTTCATTTTCCATTTCTTCCATTTATTTTCCCATTCTGTTCTTTGACATGTTGTCCTGTTCTGTATCAGTTTCAGCTCTGTCATGTTTCTTTATGTCTCCCTCCTCTCTTTCAATACTTTTGAAGGCTTGTTCTCTATCCTTATACTGCCAGATTTCAGTTTTGACTTTTATTAGGTCAGCTCTTCCTTGGGATATTAAATGATGTCTGTTTTCCAGTTCTTGTTTTGTAGCCTCAATCTTATACAGTAGTTTTGGTCTTCCAACTGTCTCAGTTGTACTTCAGTCTCCTCCATAACAATCTTTATATCTTCACTTTTCAGTCTAGTCTTGGCAGCAATTTTCTCTATGGTGCTCATAACTTTTGCCATTTTCTCCAACTTCTGCTCAGTCACATCAGTTTGTGTTTGATGTTTTCTTTTCAAAATATGAAATTCATCTCTCCCTCTCTCAAAGTTTTCTCTAATCTCTGATCCAGTTTTCTTTTGTTTTTTTGCTGCAGTTTTTATCAATTTCATGTTGCTCCTTTCTTCCTTCAGATGCACTTCACTTTGCCTTATTGCAGTTTTAACCCGTTTCAAAAGCTCTTGGAATACTTTCATGTCATGTAGCAATCCTTCAATTTCACTCTCTTCATCCTTATGATGTTCGTCGATATAACTTTCTTTAGTGGGGTTTTTAAGTTCAAGATTTAGTTGTGTTATGATTTATTGTGTTCTATAAATCTTTCCTTGAAGTCTTTGTATACCAGTACTTCTTGTGTCTTTTTTACCAGAAAATCCATCTATCTCCTCAGTATGTGTCTGTATATTTTCTATTGACTCCTGACCTTGGTTTTGCTTCTGAACATCAATAACTTCTTGATTCACCTTGCTGCCATTATCTTGTTTTTGCACCTTCACTTCATATTTACCTATTTCATGTTTGAAAACCTTTGTGCTTTCCCTCGCTCTTTGCAATCCATTTTCAATCTCTGGTTTTTGACTTTGCAGGACATTTATGTCCATAATGAGCCTTTTCATTTTTATTTTTTATTTTGCTCCATGTTCTCTGTGGCATACTTTATTTGCTGCCTTATTTCCTCCTCTCTCTCTTTGAGTTTGAACATCTGCTTTTTGACTTCTTCCATTTCACTTACATGTATCACAAATGTTCTATGATCATCATCTATTAATGTTTCTTCATGAATTGTCTGCATCTGTAAGAAAACATTCTGCTCTTCCTTTATGTCCACGGCAAAATAATTGGGTTCTTGTCTTTGTTTGTGCTCTGAATGCATATCTTCCTGTTCTTTTATTTCTTCACTTGGATTCCAGTCTTCTAATGTTATGGACTGTTGCAAAGACATGGTCTCTTTAGTAAATTCTTCTATGTCTGTTGGAATTTCAAATGTTTGAGCTTCGACAGGGTCTCTCTCTGTTTCTTTCTGTGGTTCCTGACGTTTAGATGTATTCCCTGAAAAAGTATTTTTGATTGCAGATTCAGTCAATATCCATTTGCTGACCTGAGCTTTCATGGAGGTCATCTTATCCTTCACAAAAAAGAAAAAATTGTCATTTTTTTCCTTGTAGTAAGAACGTCCCTTGTTTCAATTTGATTGTGACATTCGTTTTATTTATTAGGGCACGAGCACCGGCGTATAATCGAATCAACTTCAAATTTGGTCGGGGCAAGTCTGCTCGATAGCGCCCCCTACAATATTTCGACGATGCAGCCCTCGCAGTACGTGTCACCTAGATGTATAAAATTTGGTAAGCAGATGTATCCCATGTAGACTTAAAAAAAAGTCTTAGGGGTCCAACCGGAAGTCAGCCATTTTGAATTTTGTATGAATTTCTCGTGGTTTTTTTTCATTTCCAGGTGCTGTACTACGAACTCCTCCTAGGGAATTAATCCGATCAGCTTAGAATTTGGTCAGAACAATCTAAAGACCTTAGCGATTAAGTTACTAAAAGCTTTAGGTTTCATCGAACGACATGGATATGGTGTGATGGCCATTTTACATGGTTCGCCATCATCCATCAAGCTGTTGTAACTCGACTGTACTTTGTCAAAACTGTCCCAAACTTGACATGCTTGTTGACTGTCATGGTTTTAGGATTTCTGCATGCCAATATTAACTCATAGTCATAGCGCCACCTACTGATAAGCACGGACGTAAGCAGGATTCTATAATTACAGCGGCCCAAACACTGAACTTATTGAAAGGGTTTGTGAGCACACCATGAGAAAAAGACTTCTCTGATCTAAATATGTGCAAACTAAGATGCTTGGAGAGCAAACGTTAGATAACAGTGGATTTTCAAACCATGTCAGTGGGCATTAGTATAAATGATCTGTCCAGAGCTTCTTCATGACAATCAGGTTAAACGTTACAATGAATGCTTCACACTACAATCTAAAGTTGCAGAAGAACTTAAAATGAAAACAGTTTTAAATTAAAGTGTTCAAGTAACAGCAAATGGCACTACTGTTTTGTTAACTTTCATGTAAGTCCAAATACAATCAGCAGGACACTGCAGGGAGTTGAACCCCATCCCAGTAAACTGACAGTCTGTTATGTTACAAACACTGAAGCGCATTCACACACATTTATTTTCTTAATGATCTTTAAAGGCTTACATTGATAATTGTATTCGGAGGTACACTCTAAACATTTGAGGCTTAAGACCTGGCAACATGATCTTGCTACGCTGCTGGTCGACGCAAAAAATATCATCTAACTCGTGCATGCAGTATGATGGTCACAGAAATGCTTGACCGTGTCAACCAGAGTCCTTTCAGTACCCTCAACGAGCGTGAAGTTGTGAGGGCCCGATCAATACTGCTTGCAGCTTTAATTAATATTAATCTTGGTTGTATAAATTGAGTAAAAACCACTGTTTTTAATATAGACCCTCACACTTCAATTTCGTATTGACAAGCGAGCGTTACAGTTATGCATCCCACAAATCATTAAACTCACTGCTATGTTGCTGTGGCAGGCAGCAGTGTTGGATGAAGTCCTCACATATTTGACTTAAGTAAAAGTAATAATACCAGACTTGAATAAGCTATGCCTATCGATCAACTATATATATATATCTATATAGTTCAATGCAAAGCTTTACCTAAGCTTTGCATTGAAAATGTTGAATTACATTTAAATGTCTGTTTTTCTACTATACTTATTCTGTAAAGCTACAAAAAGGAAACTATTGCATGAAGTAATTAAAAATTCTAATGCTTCTTTAATATCCTTAGTTGGGGCTAGGTCATTAGAATCTCTTATCTTCTGATTTTTTATGTTTTTATTTTAATGATTAATGAAATGGAACAATATTGAAAGATACTTTTATGCTGGTTATGCTCAAAATAATTAATGTCTACATTGAATACAACTGTGATGTTTTAAAATATGGAAATGGCTTATTACTGGCCCAAGATTAAAAAGAAAATGAAAAGAGAAATATTTACTTACCATGTTCTTTTTGACCTCTTCCTTGTTCTGTTCCATCTCTCTTTGGACTTTGAGCATATCCTCCCTGGTGATGTTCATCTCTGCAGCAGCTTTTTCCATGCTGGCTTTTATCTCACTCATAGTCCGAATGGTAGTTATTGTGTCTTTTAGCTTTTGTTCCACCTCTTTCCTGTGTTGTTGTATCTTTACCTTCATGATTTCTACCTCATCCCTCTCTCTCCTGGTCCTCTCCAGCCGTTGGTCAAGTTCTAGTCTCTTTTTTTTAACTGTAAAATTCATCCACTGGATTTGGCTCTTTTCTTCTGTAAAGTTCCTCCTGCTTCGCTTTGCATCTTCTCTTACCCGACACATCTTTCTGATTTCTTCTACTTCAAGAATCTCTCTCTTCATGTCAGTGTTCACTTCATTCGTGTTGCTTGGGTCTATGTTGTTTTCCTCAAACTGATTTTCTTCATGTTGTATTATGTCTCTGGTTCTGTCCATCTGTTGAATCTTCTGCTCATCAAATCTGTCCTCTATATGTTCTGACCTCTGCTCCTCAGTCTTAGCTTGTCTTCCCTCCATGTTTTGTTTAGCAGGTTCAGTCTCTTCCCTCATCCTACTGAACTCTTCCTTTGCTCTCCTGCTCATTCTTATGATTTGACCAGTGTTCATCCCTTCCATCTGTCTTATCTCTTTCTTTGTCCTTTGTAAGTTGTCGTCTGGCTTCTGTGTTTCCATTTCAGAACTCCCCTGTACAGACTTCATTGCATTCATTTCTGCTTGAGCTATCTGCCTGTCTATCTCTATGTTTTGACTGTCATGGGTATTTTAGTCTTGATGTTTTGTATGTCATCTTCTTCAGATTGGACCTGTGCCAACTTGTTTTCTAGGTTTTGATTTTGCTTCTGCATATCAGCCTCTATCTCCATTTCCCAGTGTGTTGTCTTCATGCTTACATCTGTGTTTTCTCTTTGCTTTTGAGAATCAGATTTGATATTTTCCATTCGTCCACTGTCTGTCCTAAGCTCCGGCTTCTCTCTCACAGTCACTTCCAGTTGTAGTTCACCCTCTTCTAGCACCTCCCAAAGTTTTTCCATCTCTTCCTGGATTCTGCTGAGATCAATTATGACAGTTTCAGAGTTGTCTTCGTCTTCTTTCTGCCTTTCCCTGCTTTGAGGTTTGGTCCACCCTTGCTTCATCTGGTTGATATATACATTCATAATATGTTTGATGTCGTAAATGTGATCTTGATGTTGTGAAATAACTTTTTTATTTCTCTTTATCTCTTGCTTTATGTCTGCCGTGATTTTCTCCATTTGTTCTTTTGCCTGCTTTGCTTCAAGCATTATTTTCTTATTTTCTTTAATTCGACTCAGCAGACTGTCGGCTATCATCTCTGTTATCTGCTGGGCTCTCTTTATCTGCTCCATGCATTCCTTACTTTCTTTCGATTTTGTATGATTATACTTGGTCATTATGAACTTGTGGTGCTCATTAATGAGCTCATAACGTCGTCTTTCCAGAGTTTCCCTCTCTTGGTATATTTCAGTCTGCATTTTCAGAAGTTGCATTTTTTCCTGAGTAGCTTCATTTTTACTCTCCTCGAGTTTCTCAATAACATTTTCTATCTGAAATCTCAGTCTCTTTATTAAGTGCTGCTCATGGTTTTCAGCTGTCAGTCTGTCAACGTCCTCCTGTTGTTGCTCTGTATTTGTCTTCAGGTAGTTCATTTCATCTCTCTCTCTTTGTGTCTCCTCCAAATGTTTTTCAATCTCTCCCAATACTTGACATGTCAATTGTCTTTGTCTTCTAATAGTTTCCCTCTTGGTTTTTCTGACGGCTTGTGTTTGTTTGTCTTCTAATGTTCTGTTGTCCATTATCCACTTATGCTCGGTTTGGGTCATTCTGCTGTTCTTTTGTCTTTGCTCTGTTGGTCATGAAAAAAGAACAGAATATCACTTGCCAGTGTACTGCATCCGATACTGTGTTAAACCAGGCCAGAAAAAAAACGTTTCATTTTGACAACAGATAAGATGGTGGTACAGAGCCAACTGAAACACAAATGTATGTCCAGCATGTAATCCTCTTTAGTGAAACCAAAAACACAGGAAGAAAACACAAAGAAAGGCAAGTACAACAACATGTATTGTATCGTCCCCCTCTCGGCCATTTAGACATACCAGGGGCGTTGTTAGGCCTATTTTAGGGGGGCTGAAGTCTTAAATTAATCAAACACACAGTCAAATTTGAGCACAGTTTAATTTCTAAGGTTAAACATCGTGTATGAGATCTCTTTGAAATTATTAATCACATAGTTCAAAAACTAAATTGTATTTTAAATGCCACAGAAATCAGTATATCCCCAGTGTCTGCTCCAAACCCAAATATTTGGTTAAAAAAATCAGTGGGGAATGTGGACTAAGAAGAGTTATGTCTTGGCATTGCATATACCAATGCCAAGGTATACAATTTGCACGCTAAGATAGCGTGCAAATTGTATTACCTTCCACCTTCTCTTCACATCTCTCAAACAAAAACACACACACAGCGAGCAACTCGGTGCTCAGCCTTAATCCCTGTAACGTCAATTGTCGCAGCCCTCAGTCCAAAAGTAAAAATGTATTGAAAAAGATGGACGTAATAATTCGCTAAATTCACAAAATGTTTTTATTTAACGAAATAGTCTGCTTTAATTCATATATGTTGGCATTTAGCCTTTCAGAACTTACATTTGCACTGCGGTCAAAAAGCGGTTTACTCTCCCTCACGCACTTAAATAACGTGGCGGTCTACCACCAATCTAAGAGCATTATATCTATATAACCACAATAACACAAAATCTTATTTTTCCCAATTTCTTTAGGATGATAATGTCATAAAATATGACAACAGAATTCATATTGAAAGTTTCATTCGAGAACACAAATCAAAGCTTTGTGTGTAAAAAAACATAGTATTCGATTAAAGCCCATCTACTGCCAATCGAGTCGATTAGGAGGGAACCAGATGGACTGCTGAATGCTAACCTCTGTTTCTAAAAGAGGAGGCGGTGGCAGACGGGGGCCAAGAGAACACGCCGAGATGCAAGTGATTCAGAGTTTAGATCATAACAGAGGAGGAGCCGCCCCGCAAAAAATGAGACAGCAATGCCATTTCAATGTGTACATTAACAAAATAATTACATTTAACTGACTAATATTTCTAGTTGTAGTATTTCACTTCATTGCCTACTTATTCCCCACATCCCTAGGTAACAAATTTAATTTAAAAAAAACTATGCTGATGTAGGGCTGTGCGCTATGGCCTAAAATTAATATTACGGTATAATTTTGAAGCATGGATGGTATCATGATATATACATTTTTCCTAAAATGTCAATATACAATGCTTCTGAAGGGGAAAGGTAAGGTAGTTGCATGTCATAATTTCAACCATCCTAAAATAAATATAAACCAACAACTCTAAATTTGATCTTTTCACATAAAGGGCTGAGATATTTACATGAGTGTAAATATGATCCGCAAAAAAAAAAATATATGAAACGGCCGATCATCTGAAAAACGGCCAGTTTCGATTGGCAGCAGATGGATCGGTGCATCTCAAGGCTCTACCAATCAGCACGGTACAGTCAAAATACATTACCATATGGCAAATTCATACCGTCCAGCCTCGTGCTGAAGTTTAACACACATATTTACAGGTTTGGCTTACCAAAATAAGCTATAAGCTCAGGTTCCTCCTGTGAAAGGATCTGATAGAAATGAACTTTGGATTGGGATGTTCCTTCTTCTACAACATTACATTACATTACAGTCATTTAGCAGATGCTTTTATCCAAAGCGACTTACAATAAGTGTATTCAACATCGGTTTTCGAGAGAACAACTAGTCACCAGAAGTAATAAGTGCATGTCCTTTCCTCAAACAAGCATCTAAGAGCATAAACCAGAGCCAACGTACAGTGCAGAAACAAACAAATGCAATAAGTGCCACAAACTAATAAAAACAATGAGTGCAATAAGCTAGTATGAATACAATAGATGCTAAGTAAGTGCTAAGCTGAAGGGTAGGCCTTCTTGAAGAGGTGAGTTTTCAGCCTGCGCCGAAAGATGGGCAGCGACTCTGCCGTCCTGACGTCAGTGGGGAGTTCATTCCACCACTGTGGGGCCAGGACAGAAAACAGCCGCGACCGGGTCGATCGGCCGCAGGGACCTCCGAGCGACTGGGCGACCAGTCGCCCCGAGGTAGCAGAGCGAAGTGGTCGGGCCGGGGTGTAGGGCTTGACCATGGCCTGGAGATAGGAAGGAGCTGTTCCTTTCACTGCCCTGTAGGCTAGCACCAGAGTCTTAAACTGTATGCGGGCTCTTACAGGTCGAGAACGGAGAAGGCAAGTTGTGTGGGAGAACTTGGGGCGATTGAACACCAGGTGAACTGCAGCTTTCTGGACAAGCTCCAGAGGTCTGATGGCCGACGCCGGGGCTCCGGCAAGTAGTGAGTTGCAGTAGTCCAGGCGGGAGATGACAAGAGCACCTGCGCCGTCTCATCAGTGAGGAAGGGGCGAATCCTCCTGATGTTGTAGAGCAGGAATCTGCAGGAGCGTGTAGTCCGAGTTGGCGTCTCCACGATATCATCAATGGTGATGGACAGGTCTCGGTGCGGGCAACCCTTCCCCGGGAGGAACAGTAGCTCGGTTTTGCCCAGGTTGAGCTTGAGGTGGTGTGTCGTCATCCACTTCGACATGTCAGCCAAGGACGCAGCGATGCGTGCCTCCACTTGAGTGTCCCCGGGGGGAAATGACAAGACCAGCTGGGTGTTATCGGCATAACAATGGTAGGAGAAGTCATGCGAGCGAATAACAGAACCCAGAGATGTTGTGTAGAGCGAGAAGAGAAGGGGGCCCAGGACTGAGCCTTGTGGAACCCCCGTAGTCAGCATGCGTGGTTCCGACACAGAGCCCCTCCATGACACCTGGTAGGATCGACCTGTCAGGTAGGATGCAAACAGGGAGAGTGCAGAGCCTGAAACGCCCATCCCCTCGAGTTTGGATAGGAGGATCTGGTGGTTAACAGTGTCAAACGCCGCAGACAGGTCCACGAGAATCAGGACAGAGGAGAGAGAGTTAGATCTCGCTGCGTGAAGCGACTCCGTCACCGCAAGGAGGGCTGTCTGAGTCGAGTGACCCACTTTGAACCCGGACTGGTGAGGGTCCAAGAGGTTGTTTTGGTGGAGATAGAGGATAGTTGAGTAAAGACAACACGTTCAAGTGTTTTGGAAAGAGAGGGTAGAAGAGACACCAGTCTGAAGTTCTTGACATCAGAGGGGTCAAGTGATGGTTTCTTCAGAAGGGGGGTGACTCTAGCAGTCTTGAAAGCCGTGGGAAAGCATCCTGAAACAAGAGATGTGTTCATGAGGTGGGTGAGAAAAGGAAGGAGTTCAGTCGCAACAGACTGACGAAGAGGGGAGGGGATCGGGTCAAGGAGCACGTGGTGGGGCGGTTAGATGTAACAAGGTTGAGGACCTCGTTAGGGGAGAGGGGAGCAAGATAGGGTAAGATGGGGCATGGAGAGGGGAGGGAGAGCTGTGGGGGAAGAGCTGGAGATGGTAGAGAGGGTGGACAGGGAGAGAGTGGACAGGGGGACTGAAAGGAGGATCTGATATTGTTTACCTTCTTGTCAAAGAAGTTGGTGAAATCGTCAGGGAGAAGGGAGGAAGTAGGAGGAGGGGGTGGGGGTTGGAGGAGTGAAGAGAAAGTTTCGAAGAGTTTTTTAGGATTGGAAGCAGAGGTTAGGATTTTGGAGCGAAAGAAAGCAGCTTTAGCAGTAGATAGAGTGGTGGAAAAAGTGGAAAGAAGAGCTTGGAAGTTAAGAAGGTCCCCCAGGAGTTTGCCTTTTCTCCATTTACGCTCAGCCTCTCTTAGGCTCCATCTGTCAGTACGCACTGAGTCCGACAGCCATGGGGCAGGTGGGGTTGGCCGTGCAGGCCTGGAGGTGGAGGGACAGAGGTTGTCCAAAGAAGAGGAAAGGGTGGAGAGGAGAAGGTCAGTAGCAATGTCAGGGGATAGGAGAGAGAAGGCTTCAGGGTCAGGAAGAGCAGAGGTAACAGAAGATGAAAGATCAGCCGGGGAGAGGGAGCGGAGATGACTACAGGTAGAAACAATGTGGGTAGGTGGTGGAAGTACGGGGGGAGGGGAGAGGGAGTAAGACATGAAATAGTGGTCAGAGAGCTGGAGGGGAGTGACGGAGAGGTTAGCAGTAGAACAGTGTCTAGTGAAGATAAGATCCAGCTGGTTGCCGGCCTTGTGGGTAGGAGGAGAAGAGGCGGGGTAAAGGTCAAAAGAGGAGAGGAAGGAAAGAAGCGGTTCTAATTTATCAGTCTGGATGTTAAAGTCTCCGAGCAGGATGAGTGCAGAGCCATCATCATGGAAGTGTGAGACTAATGTGTCGAGATCTTCCAAGAACTCACCAAGAGGGCCTGGTGGGCCATACACAACAGCAATGGTGAGCTTGACTTGATAAGTGACAGTAACCGCATGAAATTCAAAAGAGGACGGGGAGAACTGAGGAACCGAGACAAGAGTGCATTTCCATTTTGGGGAAATTAGCAAGCCAGTACCACCACCCCGCCTCACAGCTCTGGGAGTGTGAGAGAAAGAGTACACTTCTGACAGAGCTGCGGGTGTGGTGGTGTTGTCTGGTGTGATTCAGGTCTCAGTTAGAGCAAGAAAGCTGAGAGAGAGCAAGGAAGTGTAGCCCGAGATAAACTCAGCTTTCGGCACTGCCGACTGGCAATTCCAGAGCCCCCCCGGTACCACTTGCTCAACATGATCTGAGAGAGTAGGATAAATGAGGTTAGCGGGGTCACGGCACCTGGGAGTGGCCCAACGTCTACGTGACCACCGGGCAGAAGAGAGGACCGAAATCGGATGCAAACACATGGTTTGAACAATAAAAATGAGGTAACTACACGTTAAATATATATAAATATATATATTTTATTTATTTATTTATTTTTTCTTACCTCATCCTCCTTTTGTCTTGAGTTGTAGACAAAAACACAAAGTAAACCACGTAAGGCTCAAAGTCCTTGGCACATTTTAGCTAGTCATTTGAGGGCTGTGCTTGTTTGCTTCGATGTTAAACTCGGGATATCTGTGGGGATGGGGCAGGCTTGTGCTACTATCTTCAAAACATTGTATAGCTCTTCTCTCCATATGTTTGGTGACCACCAGGTTGGGTTGTCAGATAGATGTGACACCCAGAAAGTTGTTAATTATTGGATGGATGGTGGTGCAACATCATGCTCTGAGTCTGGCCTCAGCAGATAAGGTTGGGGTTCATTTTTTGGGCTTGGTGGGTTTCACTCACCACTTCTAATGTAAATAAGCATTGGATAATCACGGATGAGCAGGCAGCGGCTCCCATACTTGTACATGTATTATATAGTAGTACAAAAAGGTGGCATTAATTCTTGATTTTTTTTTATAGCAAATGTAAATATGGTAAAAAATTGGCATTATTGAAACTGTTTCCATCAAACATTTCGCAATCATGCATCAGAAATACCAAAAGAGGGGAATATGTGGAAATGTTGGGATTGAACCTCACTTTTTGGGGACCGTGTATGGAAATAAGCTGGGTTGTGTGACGAGCAAACTGTCATCATGTCCATATAACTAACAGGTCAGTATAGCACATCGACTTACTTTGGCCATTGGTCATTTAGGTACATTTACACAGAAGTTAACCTGACATTTCTTTAAAAGAAAATGTGTCAGATTAACTTTCATTTCACACTACCAATTCAATTAAATTCAATTCAATTCATTTTGTATAGCCCAAAGTCACAAATCACAAATTTGTCTCAGAGGGCTTTACAATCTGCACACATGCGACATCCCCAGGACCCTCACATCGGAGCAGGAAAAACTCCCCCAAAAAACCCTTTAATTAACCGGGAGAAAAAAGGAAGAAACCTTCGGAAGAGCAACAGAGGAGGGATCCGTCTATCAGGATGGACAGTAGTGCAACAGATGTCATGTGTGCAGACCGCTCATCTCGGCTTCATTTTACTCCCGTGCGTAATTTAACTGCAACTTCCAATGTACAGCCTACTTTAACCGTCAGCTCTTTGACGAGCAGCTCAATCATTTAAGTAATGAAATGATCTTCTGATTAATATATCACCGTCACTCTACAGAACATGTGAACAAAAAAACAGTGCAATCACATTTTTTCCTTGACTTTAGCAGTTTGCTTTTCTATAATCCACCCTCTGCTGGACACATTTTAGATCTAAAAAGTAAAGTCAAATATGATTTTGTTAATAAATTGTCGCACTAAAATTTCATCATTATACATTATACTACATTTATTTATAGCTTTACTTATTTATTACTTTATAGATTAAAATTACATAAAATATTATGCGTTTATGGAATATGATGCATTGTTGTGGATTATTAAACCATCCAACAATATTTAAAGTGAATAAAATGAGCTCCAACTCAACCATCTTCAACAGTGACATGCTAATTTCATATTCATGCATCAGTAATAGTCAATCATAGGGATATTTTTGTCAGAATTATGAGTACTTTTACTCTTTTTCACAGAACTAGAGAGTAATGCAATATTGTTACTTTCACATAAGTAAAGGATCTGATTACCTCCTCCACCAGTGGATGCTGCTCAGTGTGCGAGAGCGTGGCGCTCTGAATAACCAATGGTTTGGCAAGTAATTTCAACATTTAATAGCTTGACTGGATTTGTATTGCAGATATCCACAATTCAATTCTTCCTAGTCAAAATGAACATTTTAGTTATCCACACTAGGTTCAGATTCAGAATCGGTTCATTG